TTCAAGAGTGTTGCGTAGTTTTCCATGAAAAGTCTTGCACCTCTTTGGTTAAATTTATTCCTACATAGTATATACTTTTTGAGGCTTGTAAATGGAATTGTTTTCTTAATTTCATTTTTGGATTGTTTACTGAAAGTGCATAGAGATACTATTGATTTTTGTAAACTGATCTTGTATTTACTGCAATCTTGGTCAACTTGTTTATTAGTTCTACTAGTTTTTAGTGAATTCCTTAAGATTTTCTTTATCCAAGATTATGTCATCTGTGAATAGAGATAGTTTTACTTCGTCCTTTTGATTCTGTATTTATTTCTCTTACCCGTTTAATGCAAAGGCATTCAACTATGTGGATCATAACAAATTACAGATAACACTGCAAAGAATGGGAACTCCAGAACACTTAATTGTGCTCATCAGGAACCTGTACATAGACCAAGGGGCAGTCGTTTGAATAGAACAAGGGAATACTACGTGTTTTAAAGTCGGGAAAGGTGTGCCTCAGGGCTGTATCCTTTCACCATACTTATTCAATCTGTATGCTGAGCAAATAATCCAAGAAGCTGGACTATATGAAGAACACGACGTCAGGACTGGAGGAAGACTCATTAACAACTGCATTATGCAGATGACAAAACCTTGCCTGCTGAAAGTAAAGAGGACTTGAAGCACTTACTGATGAAAATCAAAGACTACAGCTTTCAGTATGGCTTACACCTCAACATAAAGAAAACAAAAATCTGCACAACTGGACCAACAAGCAACATCATGATAAATGGAGAAAAGACTGAAGTTGTCAAGGATTTCATTTTAAAACCTCATTTTACTTGGACCCACAACCAACACCTATGGAAGCAGCAGTTAAGAAATCAAACGATGCATTGCACTGGGCAAATCTGTTGCAAAAGATCTCTTTAAAGTATTAAAAAGCAAAGATGTCACCTTGAAGACTAAAGTGCGCCTGACCCAAGCCATGGTATTTTCAATTGTCTCAATGCGTGCAAAAGCTGGACAATGAATAAGGAAGACCAAAGAAGAACTGACGTCTTTGAATCATAGTGTTGGCGGATAACATTGAATAAAAAATTTTTAAGCTTTTTATTGACTGCCAAAAGAATGAACATATCTGTCTTGGAATAAGTACAGCCAGAATGCCCCTTAGAAGCAAGGATGGTGAGAGTACAGCTCACATACTTTGGATATGGTATCAGAAGGGACCAGTCCCTGGAGAAGGACATCATGCTTGGTAAATCATCAAGCATGACAGGGTCAGTGAAAAAGAGGAAGACCCTCAACAAGATGGACTGACACAAGGGCTGCAACGATGGGCTCAAGCATAACACCTATTGTGAGGATGGCGCAGCATTGGGCAGTGTTTTGTTCTGTTGCACACAGGGTCACTACGACTCGGAACCAACTACATGGCACCAAGCAACGACAACTGCCTTGGTTAGAACCTTGAGTACAATGTTGAACAGAATTGGTGAGAATGGACATCCTTGTCTTATTCCTGATCTCAGGGGGAAAGTAGCCTGTCTTTCACCATTAAGTATATTTGCTGTGGATTTTTCATAGATGTCCTTAATCAGGCTGAGGTACATCCCTTATATTTCTAATTTGTTGAATGTTTCTATCATCAAAGGGTACTGGATTTTGTCAAATGTCTCTTCTGCATCTGTTGACATAATTATGTGGTTTTTGTTTTTTATTCTATTGATATGGTATATGACGTTGATTTTCAGATGTTAAATCAACCTTGCATTCCTGGGTCACAATGTATAATTCTTTTTATATGCTGATGAATTTGCTTTTATTTGGTTGAGGGTTTTTACTTCCGTATTTATAAGAGATATTGATCTGGTCACTTCTGACATTCACCGTTCAGCTGGGGAGTGGACAGCCCCATAAAACCAAATGGGACTAATGCGGCACAGCAGTCCAGGGACAAGGGCTAGAAGGCAGAAGGGGACAGGAAAGCTGGTGATAGGGAACCCAAGGTTGAGTAAGGATAGTGTTGATGTGAGGTTGTTAACCATTGTCATAGGGCAACATGTGTACTAACTGTTAAATGAGAAACTATTTTGTTCTGTAAGCCTTCATCTAAAGTGAGAATAGCAGCACAATTGGAAGAGCATAGTCGATGTCACTGAACTGTGCATGTAGAAATTTTTGAAATGGTGTACCTTTGGCTATGTATATTTTCACCAAAAAAAAAAGGTCAAGAAGGGACAGGGTTGACATGTTGTGGGATTGTTAACCAATGTCATAAAACAATATGTGTACTACTGTTTCATGAGAATCTATTTGTTCTGTAAACCTTCACCTGAAGTACAATAAAAAAATAATAATTGCAAAAAAAAAAAAAAAAAGATTATAAAAAGAGATACTGATCTGTAGTTTTTTGTTTTTTTTTCCTTTCATGTCTTTGTCTGGTTTTGGTATAAGTGCGTTACAGAATGAGTTTGGAAGTGTTCTTCCTCTTCTACTTTGTGAAAGAGTTTATAAAGAACTAGTATTAACTCTTCTTTAAATGATTGGTAGGATTCAGCATGAAGCCATCTTGGCCTAGGCTTCTCCTTCTGGGTAAATTTTTTTTAGCTTTTTATTTAAAAATAATTATAGATTCATAAAAAGTTGCAAAAAACATGTACAGAGATGTTTCATGCACTGTGGGTAGTTTTTTGATTACTAATTAAGATTCTTTACTTGTTACAGATCTGTTGAGATTGTCTACTTGAGTTTTAGTAGTTTGTGTCTTTCTAGGAATTTGTTTATTTCATCTAGCATATCTAGTTTGCTGACATACAATTTTTCATAGCATTCCTTTATAATCCTTTTTATTTCTGTAAGGTCAGTAATAATATCCCCACTTTCATTTCTGATTTTAGTAATTTGAGTCTTTTTTTTTTCTCTTGGTCAATTTAGCTAAAACCAAAACCAAACCTGTTGTTGTTGAGTTGATTCTGACTCATAGCAACCCCAGGTGTTGCAGAGTAGAACTAATCCATAGGGTTTTCTTGGCTGTAATCTTTACGGAAGCAGATTGCCAGGCCTTTCTTCTGTGGTGCCACTGGGTGGGTTTGAACTGCCAACCTTTAGGTTAGCAGCTGATCGCAAACTGCTTGCATCACCGAGGGTTCTAGCTAAAGGTCTGTCAATTTTGTCAATCTTTTCAAAGAACCAGCTTTTGGTTTCACTGATTTTTCTATCGTTTACTAGATATCTAGAATTTCTAAGCCCTGAGTCTTTCTGGGCTTCTGCAATCAAATTACTGTCCTCTAACCAAGACAGTAGATCTTTCTCTAGTTTGCTACACACTTACCCTTGTCCATCTGCTTTCTAGTTTCCAAAATTTTGTTGACATCTTTCACCTGCTGTCACTTCCTCTACTCTTCTCTTTGGTTCTTGGGAGTTTATTCATCATTATTTTACTGAGGTTTTATGTCAGTGAGTGGACATAAAAATTGTGTCTTTTATTCTTACTTTCATTCTACCATACTCTCCCTGGGTGATCTTGTCCACTCTCAAGGTTTCAATTACTACAGTATAGGCTAACAAATCCCAAATTTTTATCTATAGGCCAGTCCTCTTTCCTGAGCTTCAGTCCTATATATCCATCTGCCTACCAGACACTGCACTTGAATGTCTCATAGGCATCTCAAATTTTACAGATTTAGCCTCAAACTTGAACTTAATGTCTTCAACTCCTTGTCTCACACCTTCCTGAGGATTCTGATGTCAATTAGTCATTACAATCCATGGAATTACTGAAGCAAAACCCTCGGGGTCATTTTTGACTCTCTGTCCTCTTTCTACAACTGAAAAAAAAAAAACCTCTTTCTACAACTGAAAAAAAAACCAAACCCACTGCTGTTGAGTCGATTTCGACTCATAGCAACCCTACAGGACAGAGAACTGCCCCATAGGGTTTCCAAGGAGCAGCTGGTGGATTCGAACTGCCAACCTTTTGGTTAGCAGCTGAACACTTAATAAAATCCTATCATTTCAACCTTTGATGTTTCACCTCTCCACCTCCACTAGGGGGGAAAATTCCCACATGCTTTCCTGTCTCTCCTATCCAGTTGATTTTAAATACTGCTGCCAGAGTGGTCTTTGTACTGTTCTGCTCAAAATACTTTAATCTTTACTCAATTTCTATAAGATAAAGTCCAAACTCATTAACATAATATTCAAAGTCTGGCTTCCATACTTTTCCTTACCTTTAAACTTACACCTCTACTCAGTCTACCTATCCTACCTTTAGCCATACCAAATGATTATAGTCTTGCCATTTTTCTATAAATAGTCTAAACTTTAACCAAATCAAACTAATTGGAATTTCTGAAACACACACGCTCTCACACATCTCTGTAACTGCACATATCGCTTTTAAACATTATAACCTACTACCTTTCCAGGACAGAAATGTAGATAGTATTTAATTTAGGAGAAAACAAATAAATGAGCCTGCTCCAGGGCACATGTTAGTAATAACATTAACAATATCAAAAATAATATTACCAATACCATTTGCTGAATACCTACTACATGTTGAGCGTAGTATTAACTATTTTACATACATTATTTCTATTCCTCACAACAATTTTGCAAGGTTAGGTATAACTCTAATTTTACTGACCTCTCTGAGATTCAGAGATACTTGCTTAAGGTCACCGAGCTAATAAGAGAGTGACTCTGGATTTCAACCTGTATCTGTTTAAAATCCCTGCTCTTTTTATTATACCATGTAATCACCGGTATTACATAAAGGTATTAGAAGATAAGCATGGAAAGCTAGATTGGAGACCATTATGTAAGAGAAGATAAGTATAAGTTTGTGAAGATCAGATTTTTATTCAGTAGGCAGTGAGGAGCAGTTGAAGAAACAGTGAACGATTTGGTTATTGTAGTAAGTGTTGTTTTAGGAAAATGAATATGTAACAATGTACTTAATGAACTGGAGGAAGAATTTAAAAGAAAGCAAGCTAGTGAGGAGCTCTTACCTGCCTAACAGCAGCTGTATGGCTCTAGTATCAGCTTTTGGGTCATGTTTCCAAAATGCATTCTCAGTTGGATGGAGAAGGTGATCTTCAATGTGGTCTTTAAAGTGATTCCTAGGCCAGGCTCTGATTCTAAAGTTTGAAAAAAATAATTTCTCAATGGCTAACGGATGGGAAAAATCTAAATCATAATGAACTAAGCTAAGAGATGGTACATGAAGCTAGTCCAAAACCGAAAACTGAAAGTACTTTAAACTTAACATAGTCCCTGGGTGGTACAAACGATTGACATGCCTGGCTGCTAACTAAAAGGTTGCAGGTTCGAGTCCACCCAGAGGTGCCTTGGAAGAAGGGCTTGGCAACTGTTATGGATTGAACTGTGTCCCCTAAAAATATCTGTCAACTTGGCTGGGTCATGATTCCCAGTACTGTATAACTGTGTACCATTTTGTAATCGGATGTAATTTCCTTATGTGTTGTAAATTCAATCTCCATGATCTAATAAGATGGATTAGCGGCAGTTACACTGATGTGGTATGTAAGACTGGATAGTGTCTTAAGCCAATCTCTTTTGAGATATAAAAGAAAGAAGCGAGCAGAGACACATGGGAACCTCATACCACCAAGAAAGCAGTGCCAGAAGCAGAGCGTGTCCTTCGGACCTGAGGTTCCTGCACAGAGAAGCTCCCAGACCAAGGGAAGATTGATGATATGGACCTTCCTCCAGAGCTGACAGAGAAACCATTCCCCTGGAGTGGATGCCCTGAATTTGGACTTGTAGCCTACCGGACTGTGAGAGAATAAACTTCTCTTTGTTAAAGCCATCCACTTGTGGTATTTCTGTTATAGTAGCACTAGATGACTACGACAGCAACCTACTTTTAACAATCAGCCAGTTCTACTGATACACATAGGGCTGCCATGAGATGGAACTGACTTGATGGCAACTGCTGTTTTTTTTTTGGTTGTTAATCTCAATAGTAGTACTACCTTATATACAAAAATTTACAATTTACAAAGCTCTTTCCCACATTAAAATCTCATTTCATTTCTGTAAGGTAGGAAGGAGAGAACATCCCCAGTTTATATATAAACATGCAGGTTCAGAGAGAGGGAAGAATTTATCCGTTAACACATTTAGTAAGTGCCAGTATCTTAACTCCTAGTTTAGGATTCTTTTCCACTTTTTAAGAATTATTTGCTGAACATATCTAGATTATTTATTTTACCACTTGACAAAAAACACAGGTTAGGAAGTAATAACAAATGAAATGCTGAAGTTCTTTTCTATCCTGTAACTTACTGTGTTGATGCTCTAAGAGAATCTCCCTTCATAGGAGGATGAACTTCGTCCAACAACATGCTAGTGTCTGGGCTTGATTTCATTGCAGAAACCACCATGGCATTACGCAGTTTATTGCCTTGTTCTAACAGAGCTGAAGAGGGAAAAGCAGAACACGGAAAATCTAAAATCCAGCAGAAACACTTGCAATATTCAGCCCATTTCCTTCTATCACAGGACTTACCTCAGTGTATTATAATGGTTTACTTCTCTGCCTTCCTCATTAGCTAGAGAATTCCTTGAGGACATTCACTTAGCAAATGTTTACCGAGCTACTTACTGTGTGTGCTGTTTTAGATGCTGGCATTACAGCAGTAAATAGTTTCCATTCTGGACAGACTGAGTTTCTTGTGGGAGTTGTTATATCCATTCACTGAATCTGCCAACTGATGTTTTACATAATAAGGCTAGTGATGTCTACATATTATTTTTGTATCCAGGCACCTTACTGAATTCTCTTATTATCTGTAAGTTTTAATGTCATTCTTACCCAGGAAACACTAGAAACTATACCAGCCAAACCTTTAGGAACTATAGTGATAATCTCTTCCAATCTTACACTTTTACAGATGAAGAAAAGAATGCCAAAAATCTTCCATGACTTGCCCAAGATTATACAGGAGGTTAATGGAAAAGTCAGGTTGGAGCCCAGTCTTGAGACTTTCCCACTAGTAAAATTTACCCCACCCCTAAATAATAACAACATAATTACAGCAGGTAACATTTACTGAATCCTTATCATGCGCTAAGTACTATTCTAAGTATTTTATCTATGTTAACTCATTTAATGCTCCCAATAACCCTCTGAGATAGGTACTACTATTTCCTCAGTTTTCCAGACGAAAAAACTGAGGCAGAGAGAATAAGCAGCTTGTCTAAGTTATGCATTCCGTACATGGCACAGCCAGAATGATGCCACATCCTGTGTTTTTAATCAATATGCTATATATGGTTTTACTTTATGTCTTAGGCTTCCTTTTAAAAGCTGAGGACCGGCGGTATTATTCTAAGGAACAGCGGTATTATTCTGGGAAGTACTGTCATTTTCTTGAGGTTCAACAGTTGTTTAGAAGGCAAGTAGAACCAGAAACTAAGTGCCTGCCCCCTAGTCTGGAGATTTATAGCTTCTAACAGTCAGGAAGATATATGGTCAGGCCAAGAAAAAAAACCCCAAACAGATGCATGAACATCTAATATTTGTTAATACCACATAAAACTTTTTAAAAATTACTTAAATACCATGTTCAGTATGTGATGTGAGAAATATAACTAAACTAAAAGGTAATAAAGATCACCATGTGGTAGGCAGAGTTTTAAGAGGCCCCCCAGATTCCCACCGTTGGTATACATATACCTTGTCCAAGTTATTCAATTACTAATCTAGCTATTGCTATGAAGGGACTTCGCAGACGTAATTAAGTTCCCAAATCAGCCTACCTTAAAATAGGGAGATTATCTTGGTGGGCAGACCTAACCCCAGGAACCTTTTAAAAGCAGACTTTTCTCACGCTGGTTGCAGAGGAGGAAGTTAGAGATTTGAAGCATGAGAAGGATTTAACGTGTTGTTGCTGGCTTGAAGACGGAGGGGGCCACATGGCAAGAAATGCAGGCAGCCTCTAGCAGTTAAGAGTGGCTCCTGGCTGACAGCCAGCAAGGAAACAACACCTGAGTGCTATAACTGCAAAGAACTGAATTCTGCCAACAACAAAAATGAGCTTGGAAGTGAATTCTTCTCCAGAGTCTCCAGATGGGAACTTTGTGATACCCTAAGCAGAGAACTCAACCATATCACGCTAAACTTCTTACCTACAAAACTGTGAACCAATAAAAGGGTATTGTTTTTACCCACTAGAACAACAGCAATAGAAAATTAAATACCCATTAATATCACTACTCAAGAATATCCATTATTAATATTTTGATACGTCTTACCGATTTTTTTATAGTACTTTAGATGAAGGTTTACAGAACTAGCTTCTCATTAAACTATTAGTACACGTATTGTTTTGTGACATATGTCTTATCGATTTTTATCTACCATACCACTTATGTTATGTACATATATTTTTCTTTTGCAAAAATGGGATATTGTATATACCGTTTGTAACTACTTTTTCATTTAACAATATGCATTAACTTTTTTCTGTCAATGGCTACACTGTTTTCCATTCAGAATTCACTGTATTTGTATTTATTTATCTTACATTTATTTAAAAAAAATTTTAAACTCTGGGATTCAGCTGGAAAAAGACTTATTTATTGAGAAAGGGTAAAGAAAACACGGTCTGCTAGGATTGGAAATTTGGCTGAAATCTAAGTTTTCCAGCTAAAGAAGCTTAGTGTATGACAGCAAACTCTTCTCCTTTTAACTTCTAGTTGGCACTTGGCTTTATTTGATATGGTTTAAAGTTTCTTAATGAGGCTATTGCACTGAATAAGTATGAATAAAGTGGTTAATGACCAGCAATGCCAATAATAAATTCCGTTTAGATTTCAGAGCCATGTAGAAAAATAATTTTTCTGCTGACACCCGAAATGTTTCAAGAGAGATGTCAGCATTGATACTTTATGATCTAACCATACCAAACTATTTTCCATTCCTTAAACACAATACTTCCTCTATGCTGTCAAAATTCCCAAAATTTAACTCTATCAAAGAATTTATCATGTAGTGTTATAATTGTCTGTCTCACCAAATCAACTCTGAGTCCAGGGATTGCCTCTTGTTGGTCTTTTTATCCTTGGTGCCTAGTACAGTGCCTAGCATATATCAGGCATTTGATAAAATGTTTTCAAACGAATACTTCCAGTGTTACATGTATTACACACAGCGGTAATGTACCTCCTTTAGACTCTATCTCCTTTACTAGAGTGAATTCCTTAAAGGCAGAGACTGTATCTTATTTATCTTTGTATCCTCAATACTCAGAACAATGACTGGCACACAACAGACACTCAAAAGTTTTCATCTCTATTAAATATAAACTCCTCTGGGAGTTGGTAATATTTTAAGAGTTACTTAATCATCGGAATGGGAATGAGTGCTTAAGACACTTTCCAAATAGCAGGTTGAGGAGGACAAGCAGAAGAAATCTAAGCATAGGTGGTCCATTTATAGTCTCCAAGTGGTTTCACTGCTGAGATAGCCATGATTTGCAAGAGGTTCTCTAAAGTCTAAGGCATGGCAACGAGAACATCTTTTCTCCATTTCTCAAGGGGAAGCTGGTACCCTACAATATGAGAGCTGTCAAGGAATCTTCTGTCATGCCAATTCAATAACCATTTCCTGAGCACACGGAAAGGGCACTCAGGCGAGTGCAGGACAAATATTTCCCTTGCTTATGTCTTATATGCCCTTCGTACAGCCCCTGCTAAACACAAAGGCATACAGCTTCTAGTTTTTGTTCCAACTCCCTACTATTCTAAAGCCCAACTCTTACAAGCAGGTGTGTAGTTAATGTTTCATTAATACTAGCTGGTTGATTTAGTTCTGCACTCCCTTTTCTGCTATAATAGTACACTGAAGAGGAAGATAATTATGTATCTGCTCTGTCCCTCTCATGACCACAGCTCTAGACCTACTAAAGTGACCCACTTAATCTCAGTAATCCAGGATCTTGAGGTTAAAATGAATCTTTAATGATCATATCCAACTGTCTATTTGGAGATTTAATCCAATCTGTAAGAGTCCCATCAGGAGGTTATCTAGCCCATGTTTGACCATTTCTAGTGATGTGAAACTCACTACCTCTTGGAGCAGTCCTCTGCCATCTTTGCACAGGCTGGATGATTAACTCAGACTGAGCCAAAATCTGTCTTGTTTTATCTTCAAACTCATTGATCCTAGTAACTCTTATGGAAGAGGAATGCACATTGGCAGCCCATGGATTATGCCTGGCTATGGACATGTTTTGTTTGGTCTGCCCAACAAGCCAGCAGTAATTATTTAAAAAAAAATTTTTTTCTAAAAGCAAGTCTAGGTAAACAATGAACTCACCATAGGATGAAGCAGGACTTTGTCTTAGAGTCTAAGATAATAATGAACTGGAGCTGAGGAGCAGCTGCCCCTTTGACAGGATATGAGCTTCCTTGTTCGCAACTCTTGCCTTGCTTCACAACAATTACATTGCTTGCTTGGTCCCTGAAGGTATTTTGCTATCCTTGTCTTAAAGAGTATTAAAAACAAGTCACTTAAAAACTCTGAGCCTGTGCCTTCATTTTAAAATGGAGATAACAATCCCTATCTTAGATGTTTTTTGTGAGATTTACATAAGATTATGTGTGTAAGGCACTTGGTATAGTAGCTAGCACAGAACTAGTACACAATAAATGATAACTGTTTTCTCCAGGCTTAAATATTATCCCTTGGCAAAGTTGTACACATTAAGAGGAATTCACCTTCTTTAGATCTTTACTCTAATGTTACCTTCTCAATGAGGCCTTCCTTTGCCAATCTATGTAAAACTAATATCCCCTCCTCTCAACTTCCCTGCTTCAGTTCGCCTCATTGCCATTATCACCATCAAATACTGTATACTTATCTAGTTTGTCATCTGTCTTCCCCACTAGAATATAAGATCTATAAGCAGGAATTTTTTTTTTCAAATGCTGTATCCCTGACATCTAGAAGAGTGTCAGATACTTGGTAGCTGCTGAATAAATAATTGCTGAATGAATGAATATCTTTCTCGATCTGGTGCCCAGGTATACACAGAATATTCCAGGTGTGAGGTGACAAGTTCTGATTATATTGGGAGTATTTTCTTTCTTGCTAATATAGCCTACGGTTGCATTAAAGACTAAAATTAATAAATTATAATCTTGGAATATATTTTTAAAAACAGGATCATAACACATTTCAATGGAAAGAAAATTCCTTACTAATGTAAATTATCTACTCAATTATTTAAAAGACTTTTATACTAATGCTACAGACATTGCAATTTGGAAATTTTATCTGTCGGGATGAAAACAAAGTCCTGTCATGCTCCTGATGTCAGAGAAATAAATAGTTGACCATTATAGTCAGCGTAATATAGGTACCTCAACAGCTTTTATTATACTACTTCCTAACATTGGGTAGTCTAATTCTGTTCCTCTTTGCTTTTTATTTCAGTCTAAGCCCTTACAAGGGTAAACTGACTCTTTCAACTTCTGTTTTAACAGCAGTCTGGCCAGTCATACTTAATTTTCAGGCTTAAGATTTCAGCATTGCTATGCACTGAATGTTCCCACCGAGACCAACAGTTTTCAGAAAAAGAAACAGATTTGTTACTAGGTATACATAAATGATGATGATGAGACAGAAACCTTATCTGCCTTGAAATAATTGGGAAAAAATAAGGACTAATATTTTTCTTTGATAAAGACTCTCCTCCCTCTATCTAGGTTTCTTTTAAAGGTTCCTTCCCCAAACCCACAATTATAAGCACCTAGTAATTTATTTAGTAGTTACTTAGTGGTTTAATAGGGTTGCCTTTAAATGGTAAGAGATTCTGGAGTGTAGCAAGATTGCTCACTTTTATTTGGCTATTTATAGTTCCAACAGAAGTCTTAATTTTTCTTCATAGGCTGGCTAATGAGCAGAATAACCTCAATAAACATAGCTTAGTCTCAGCTCACAAATGTATGTATATATACACATATATATTTATATATATACCTGAAAGAAGGTCCTTGGTAGGAGGGTTGTTTGAAGAAAGAACGCATGAGTCACTGCGACTCTTGGCAACTGTCCTAGTTTGAGGCTGGAATTCAGAACTGTTGAGAAGAGACATCTGTTTCTGTGGGGCTTTGCCTTTCAGAGTTACAGACTCTAAACTTTGTCCTGAATTAAGATGGTGCTGTAGTTCAAAGAAAGAGTCCTTTATTGTATCAGAGTTCTCCGCAAAGTACAAGTGGTCCTTTCCCCTGTTTTTTAAAAAAGAGAGAACTTTAGCAATGTATTATCTATTATGCCAACATCCTACTTTGTCAGAGACAGAAAGTAGATCAGTGGTTTACAGCAATGTAGCTTGGACTCTGAAAGAGGTGATTTATTTATTTTTTTAAATATTTTATTGTGTTTTAGATGAAAGTTTGCATAGCAAATTAGGTTCCCATTTAACAATTTTTATCCAACTTGTTCCATGGTTTTGGTTACATTTTTCACAATGTGTCAATATCCTCATTATTTCCATTCTTTTTATTCTGTTTCCATTAATCTGGTTTCCCTGTCCCTCCTTAGCTTCTCATCTTTGTTTAAGGGTAAATGTTGACTATTTGGTCTATATAGTTGATTATTTAAGTGAGCAGGGAGGTGTCTTATTTGCTACGTAACTTTGTAAATGTGTTTTTCATCTCCCTAATGAAGGAAATAAGAGACGTTTTACCTACAGTTGTGGCTTAAGTGAGACAGTGAAACAAAGAGTGCAGAATAGAACCTGACAGGACGCAAACGCTTAGTAAATAATTACTTAAACAAAAAAACTGTTTCTCTTACTCCATTCTATTTCACAACATGCTGCCCTTTCCATCTTTTTTCTCACAGACATCTATCATGGCATCTATGTATCATTTAGTTGTTCTCATTTATTTTTATGTCTGCCTCTCCACTAGATTGTCAGCAGTCCCTTAACATAGGAATTGTGTCTTATAATTTGTATACCCAGCACCTAGTATTGGACCAGAAACATAGTGGGTACTTATTGCTGAATGAATGACTGCACTTCTCTCTCCCTTTAGTCTTTTACCCAATTACAAATGAAAGGTAGAAACTATGAGTACAGTAAGAGCAGACAGATTGGCTGACATCAGGTATGCTCATTACCTTGGAGTGGTTGACCTACTACTGTTGGTTGCTAACTCTTTTCCATCAATTTTGGTGACAGGAATCCCATGAGGCCTGGATGGAACCAGAAACTGGGTATTGCTGGGTTCAATATTTTCTCTGAATCCCTGCTCAGATAAAAGCACGTTTTCTGTCACGTCAGTGGTAGGAAGAGGACTATAGCTGTCATAAGTTTCTGACAAAGGCTCCAGGGCAAGCGAGACCTGAAAGAGAGATTAATATATCAGAAATTTTCTTCAGTGCTGATTAACTTATTTTAAGACTCCCTTGCTTAACATAATGTTTCCATTCCTTGCAGGATTAAAATTCCTGTCTATCTCAGATGCCTCATCTCTCACTGTGCTCCCCTCTTTCATCCTTCTGTCCTAAATATACCAATTACTTAGGTTCTCTAAATGTCCTTTATATTTCATTCCTTTGTGCCTTTGTATATGCAATTTCCTCCAGCATTACTTCCTCAGTGAAAACATCCAGGTAGAGATGTCGTATCTATTCCCGTCTCAGTGTTTCTACACTCTGTACCAACACCATTTACTGAACATTTTACTACAGGCCAGGCCCTGTGTTAAGCTCTTCACAGAGAGAAGCTCATGTGATAATATAACCCTATCAGGAAAGTATATTATCCTAATTGGAAGATTAAAAAAAAAAAAAAAAAAAAAAGCAGAGGCCTAGAGAAGATAGGTATTTATAACTTTTAGTTTATTTATTATCCCAATTAGATTATAAATTCATTGAAGGCATGGCCTGTCTGAAATAATTTTCCTGTGAACTAATTAGCATAGTACTTGATATGCACATAGTAGATAACTTATGCATAAAAGACTGAAATAGCACTTTCTGCATTCTTATTGTTAGCTGCCTGGGAAAAATAAGGCTCTAATTCTATGCTGGGGCTTGGGGGAGGGGAGAAGGGAGGAACAGTAAGATGAAAAAGTAATCACTTTAAGTTTTTGTCATCATGTCATTCCTGAGAGTTCAGGTTCACTATTAAAAGGGTCTCTAGTCCTCTGACATAGGAAAAAAGCATAATGGAGGGATAAAAAATAAAATAAAGAGCCTAAAGCAAAATCTCAGAGAATAAACTGGAGAATATACCCCAAAAGAAAAGAACACCAGTGTTCAAACTTTAGTTTCAATGACAGAAGGAATTGTTTAAGCAGCCAAGGGGCAAATAATGATGAATGGCCTAACACCAAAATGAAAGATTACAATTAGATATTGTAAGATGTCTCTAGGAAGGTCAATAGAATAATTTATGCAGAGAAACTGCCAAAGCATAGACTCAATAAAATATGCCTGGCTCTTGATGAGGAGAATTCTGTTCATGAACCAGGTAACATGAAGTCTTTTAAATCTATTAATTATCAGTATTTTTCCATAAAGACAAATTAAAGGAATGCAGCGGGATAAATACTGTGTGCAGTGATCACCGTAATAGCATCACATAAAATCCTGGCTGCCCAAATGTAAATGTTAGAAAGTGTTTCCTTACATCATTTGCCAAATGACAACCACTGGTATTCTAGAAACAAAGGAGGCACTGGTTATAAAGGCTGCGTCCCTGGTCTCAACAACGATCTGCTGACTGACCACTGAGTCTTGCTTTTTCCTAAGCAGATCTGAACCATTAACAAAACAACTAAACGGCCTAAACTACTACTGGCCTTTAAAGAAAGGGTTGGAGAAAGTCCATACACATGCCACACCCATCTTCCAATCAAAACACAGGGGTTGGCCTAAGTTCTCTGTTCAATTAAACAAATATTTACTGATGCCATCTCTCTGCCAGGCTCTGCACTAGCTGCCTCTAGCAAAGCAATTTAAAAAAACGTAACCTGAACCAGAGGATCATAGTATTTTGCGGAGGAACTTATAAAGAGGTAATTTTAATATAAAGTGATGAGTTCTGACATAAAGATGTGTACTTGGTGTTATGGGAACGTTAAAGAGGGACTTAGGGAAAGGGTAACCTTTTGAGATGGGCTTCTTTCATTCTACAAAATACCTTTGAGGTTTATCTATGTGGTTGCATGTATCAACAATTCATGCCTTTTTATTAGCTCAGTAGTATTTCATTGTTAATACGCTGCATCACACTGATTCATTTTCGAATACTGAAACAGATTTCCACTCCTGGGAGAAACCCGACTTGGTTGTTGTCCTAGTTATCTAGTGCTGCTATAGCAGAAACACTACAAGCTGATGGTTTCAACAAACAGAAGTTTATTCTTTCACAATCTAGTAGGCCACAAGTCCAAATTCAGGGCATCAGCTCCGGGGGAAGGCTTTCTCTCTCTGTCGGCTCTGGAGTGAGGTCCCCGTCATCAATCTTCCCCTGGTTGAGGATCTTCTCAGCACAGGGACCCCAGGTCCAATGGATGCGCTCTTCTCCTAGCTCTCGTTTCCTGGTGGTATGAGGTCCTCATGTCTCTACTTCCTTCTCTCTTTTATATCTCAAAAGAGGTTGGCTTAAGATACAGTCTTGTAAATTGAGTCCTGCCTCATTAACATGAACTGCCACTAATCCCATCTCATCAACATCATGGAGAAAGGATTTATAACACATACGAAAATTGCATCAGATAACAAAATGGCGGACAATCAAACAATACAGGGAATCAGGGCCCAGCCAAGTTGACAGATATTTTTGGAGGACACAATTCAATCCATGACAGTTGTGGTGCTACTGTTCTTTCTGTATATTGCTGGATTCAACTTGCTAATATTTTGTTGAGGATTTTTACATCTAGGCTCATGAGGGATATTTGGTCTGTAGTTTTCTTCTTTAGTCTGTCTTTGTCTAGTTTTGGTATCAAAGTGGTAGAGGCCTCATAAAAGTAAGTTGAGAAGTATCTTCTGTGTGGCACTGGTATTATTTTATCTTTAAATGTTTGATAGAATTCACCAGTGAAATCATCTGGGCCTAGAGATTTCTTTTTTGGAAGGTTTTTAACTACAGTTTCTTTTAATAGTTACACGTCTATTTAGTTTGTCTAATTCATCTCGGGTGAGTTTTGGTAGTTTGTGGGTGTCTTAGTTAACTAGTGCTATAACAGAAATTCCACAAGTGGATGGCTTTAACAAACAGAAATTTATTTTCTCACAGTTTAGGAGGCTAGAAGTCCAAATTCAGAGTGCCAGCTCCAGGGCAGGCTTTCTTTCTCTGTTGGCTCTGGGGAAAGGTCCTTGTCATCAATATTCCTCTGGTCTAGGAGCTTCTTAGCACAGGGACCCCGGGTCCAAAGGACATGCTCCGCTCTCAGTGCTACTTTCTTGATGGCATGAGGTCCCCCTATCTCTCTGCTCGCTTCTTTTATATCTCAAAAGAGACCGACTCAAAATACAACCTAATTTTGTAGATTGAGTCTTGCCTCATTAACATAACTGTCTCTAATCCTGCTTCATTAACATCATAGAGGTAGGATTTACAACACATAGGAAAATCACTTCAGATGACAAAATGGTAGACAATCACACAACACTGGGAATCATCGTCTAGCCAAGTTGACACACATTTTTGAGGGACACAATTCAATTCGTAACAGTGGGTTTTTTTTATTTTGCTGTTGTTGAGAATATACACAGCAAAACATACA